TGATTATTTTAATTCACAACAGTTAACGTTATATCCGTTAAAAAGAAGTTGCTACTAGGCTTTCCCCCCACATAACTTGAGACAGGGAAGTTCAAGGATTTAATTAATTATATTAATCTCTACATTAAGTGTGACAGGTAAGAAGAATAAAGTGATGTAAGTTCATAAAGTTATAACGTTAGACCGTTTCCCAGGAGGTACACATAACCTTACATACAAAAATAAGTTCAATGAAATAAATGAATTCAGCAAATAAATGTAATTGTACTAAAATGTAAATGTTGGACAATAAATATATAACAGCAATAGAATAGCTTTACAGTAAACTGTTTTTTTTGCAGTACTATTTTATATTAATGACCGTTAAAGCAAGCCTATGTAAACAAAAAAACACAGATAACGGACACACCAATGCATCATGTTAAGATCATCATGTTTGTAGCACGATCCAGGGGATTAAAACGTACAAAATATATTTCAGGCCTAGTGGAGTTGGTAACTAATAATAGTAGTAAATGTGTAAAGTTGCATAAAAATGCAAGAAAAACTACCTAAAAAACTGTTATCTGTGCTGTTGCCCAGTAACTCCAGTTGGAATTTTCACCCCAAAATGGCGGCCGCGCCACCTAGTGGCTGTTACCAGAAAAGCATCGGAGTTTCGCCTCTTGTTCTTCTATACTCTTTGGTTCAGGTTAGTTCACAGTGCATTAACTAATGTTAACAAGATTTTAATAAAGTATTTGTAAATGTTGAAATTAACATTAACAAAGATTAACAAATGCTGAAGGAGTATTGTTCATTCTTAGTTAATGTTAACTACATTAGTTAACATTAACTAAGAATGAACAATACTCCTTCAGCATTTGTATAATGCTGCTGCTCCATCTATTGGATAACAGTGGTATTACAGACTATATACAGTTGAAATAAATGAATGGAAATTTGGTTTTCACTTATATCTCGGGAACGAGATAATGAAAAAATTATCTAAAGATTGGGGGCGTTCCCGAGCCCCGCGACGATAGATTTGGATAAAGAACCCCGAGAGAACCTTACCATCAAAATTTGAGCGTGCAGCGACTTTCTGTTTTCGAGTTATGAGTGAATTTGTCCTTGGGGGGCGTGGCCCAACGTTATACTTTCGTTTTCAGCCTTCCTGTGACACAATTGTAAATAGTAATAAATAAAATAAATAAATGCAGTCCATAATACTCCAATAGATGAATTTGGACAAAATGTGATTGTAAATGTTGAAATAATGATTTTAGAAATTTTAAATATGAATTATAAAACAATATTAGGGAGTAGTATGATGAAATGACAGCAAGGGGCAGTAAAATACCACTTTGGTATTTTTTTAATAAAAAAATAGCTTTAAGCATTTGTTTGTTAGCCAATGCTGAAAGCTGATTAAAAAAAAGATTAAAAATGTCGGTAACACTTTACAATAAGGTTAATTTATTAAACATTAATGTATTAATTAACATTAACTAACCATGAGCAATACATTTGTTACTGTTTTTGTTCATCTTTGTTAACGTTAGTTAATACAAATCCAGCTGTTCATTGTTAGTTCATGTTAGTTCACAGTGCATTAACTAATGTTAACAAGATTTAAATAAAGTATTTGTAAATGTTGAAATTAACATTAACAAAGATTAACAAATGCTGAAGGAGTATTGTTCATTCTTAGTTAATGTTAACTACATTAGTTAGCATTAACTAAGAATGAACAATACTCCTTCAGCATTTGTATAATACTGCTGCTCCATCTATTGGACAACAGTGGTATTACAGACTATAAACAGTTGTATAAATAAAAACTTTCGTTTTCAGCCTTCCTGTGACACAATTGTAAAGAGTAATAAATAAAATAAATAAATGCAGTCCATAATACTCCAATAGATGCATTTTTACAAAATGTGATAGTAAATGTTAAAATAATGATTTTAGAAAGTCTAAATATGAACTATAACAATATTAGGGAGTAGTATGATGAAAATGACAGCAGGGGGCAGTAAAATATCACTTATTGGCTGTTAGCCATGCTTGACCTTTTTTTAAGAAGCTATGAGCATTCATTGAAAAGATATTGGCTTTCGGTCAAGGCTACATATTGAAGTGACCCTATTATAGTCATCCAAATGTTATACATTACAAGTTATACATTTTCTGATAATTATTGTTCTAGAGAGTACAGAGCAATAGATGAATTTGGACAAAATGTGATTGTAAATGTTAAAATAATGATTTAATAAAGTCTAAATTTCAATTATATATAACAATTTTAGGGAGTAGTATGATGAAATGACAGCAGGGGGCAGTAAAATACCACTTATTGGCTGTTATAGCCATCCAAAATGTTATAGCCATCCAATTTACACTATTACAGCCATTCAAATGAAGAAATTACACCTTTTCTGATAATTATTGATCTAGAGAGTCCAGATAATTGTACTGCACTGGTTTTAAACATTAAGATATGAAAATTTTACGATCATAGATGGAAAAGACCATTTACAGCCAATACAGGCAATTTACCATAGGAAATATATGGTTTTAAAGCTTTTTAACAGTTATAGCGCCACCTATGGTCCGATCTCCATGAAACTTTGCATGCTTCCTCACCATGGTATGACACATATGCTCATCAATTTTTGTCAAGTTCTGAGTTTTCATTTATGATTTATAGGCTTTTGAGTGTATTTTGACACGCCCCTTTTCTAAATGACCCTGTTACAGTGAACCAAAGGGCAAAGTTCAACTTTTTTTTGATAATTATTGATCTAGAGAGTCCAGAGAATTGTCCTAGACTGGTCTGGTTTTGATCGGGCAAAAAACCAGGGACTAGTTCGCAAAAGTAGGTTTTTAACATATTCGTGAATATTTAATGAACGATTTGATTGACAGCAATGGTTCTAGAGGCAAAGTTGTTCACCATGAGGATATCTATAAAATGATATGCATTTTGGGGGGATGTGTGCAACACCACGTGATTACAGAGCCGTAAAACTCGTTAGCGCCAACTAGTGGCCGATTTCTTTCAAAACTCTTACAGACCTCTTGGGCCATGAGTCGAACATGCCCATCGAGTTTCGTTCCGATTGGCCTCCGTTAACCTCGTCTCATAGGGGCTCAAACTTCATTGGTCAATGGCGGCCATGTTTTTTGAGATACGCCAATGTCCTCATAGACATACATGGGGCCTTGGACCAAGACACTGCATACCAATTTTCAAGTCAATCGGACTAACGGTCAGTCCTTTATATGTTTTTTTCATGTTATAGCGCCACCTAGTGTTCGATCGTCGCGATTTTTTTACTGTGACCTCACATTGAACTCATGCACAACTGTACCAAGTTTGGTGAACCTACCTAATTTACTTCTGGAGTTATAGTCGTTTTAGTAAAATAGGCTCCTCCCACAACGTTCTTTTTGCGCCCCCTAGCGACCGGAAATCGAAATTTCAACTTTTTTACGATTATAATTTATATTCAGACTCCACAGAACATTTGTGCACTGGTTTGGTTCCGATCGGGCAAAAAATCAGGGACTAGTTCGCAAAAGTCGTTTTTTGACAAAATTCAAAATGGCGGAAAATCTATCATGACGGAAATGAAATCGGAGATATACGTTTTTTAAGTCAGGAGTCCAGCTTTCCAATGATATAAGACACTTGAGTCTACGATTTACGGTCTAGGAGTTATGAGCAGTTTTGCGCAATTGGTTGCTATAGCGCCACCTATGGGCCAATCGGGCTCATAATTTGATAAGCTCTCCTCGATTTTTGTACTACCATCTGACAAAGTTTCAAGTCTCTAGCACTTACGGTTTGGTCTGCACGATGCGTTTTACGGCAGAAGAATAATAATAATAATAATAATAATAATAAAAATCCTTACAATTACAATAGGTTTTCAGCACTTCGTGCTTGAACACCTAAAAATCCTTACAATTACAATAGGTTTTCAGCACTTCGTGCTTGAACACCTAATAAATGTTTCTTGAGCAGCAAAAGCATATTAGAATTATTTCTGATGGATCATGTGAGTGAAGACTGGAGTAATGGCTGCAAAAAATTCAGCATCACAGGAAAATAAATACATTTTTAAATCTTATTTTTGAGACCTTATAAGCTGCTAGAAATCTTAGTTACATAATGCTATAATATACATAGTACTGTTATACAAAGGACAGCAGCACTAATATCGGTCTTAAGCTCTGTCAAAGCTCTTGGATATTGACTATTGACTGACACCAGCTATTTCAAGAAAGGAATTGGTTACAGCAGAGTGGCTGTCAGATGTGGACTATTCTACATTAGGACTGCAGGGATGAAATTGATTTTTTATTGTCTTTTCTACAGTCGTTGCACACAATTCACACAAATCTAGTTTATTGACACAGAGCGAGAGAGAGAGAGAGAGAGATAGCGCGCGCGCGCGAGAGAGAGAGAGAGAGAGAGAGAGAGAGAGAGAGAGAGAGAGAGAGAGAGAGAGAGAGAGAGAGAGAGAGAGAGAGAGAGAGAGAGAGAGAGAGAGAGAGAGAGAGAGAGAGAGAGAGAGAGAGAGAGAGAGATCCATCTCAGACATGACTGCATATTACACATCACCAGCCGACAGCCTTAATCAGCTACACACTCACTTATCAAAAAGAATACTGGACCTTTATCTGCTTAAGCACAGTCCACACCACATGCTTATACTCCCAATACCAAGAAAATTTCCATTAACTTAAATATAAAGCCGGCTAGTCCCTGTGGGTTGTATCACAGAGGGTGTGTTTTTTCCATTAGCCCATCCACCCGGCCCTGCCTGTCACCCAGACCTCTGACTACAGCCTTTGTCCTGAGTTCACTAATCTGCCAACAAACCTAATCGTTTAAACCCAATACGCTGAAGCTGCCGTGCGCAAATGCAGGTCCCGCTTCGCTTTAAGCAGTGACATGCCTTGACGTTTCTACCTTCCTTTTGCGGCACAAAAACATGCAGTGATCTTACCTTCATGAGGGTGAGAGGCCCACAGTTGGGCATTTGCAGGCTGGCTTGGTTGGGAGCTCGGAAGGCCGGATCTGACGACCCGTGAGCGCTTGAGGCGCTGACGTATCCGCTAAGGAATGGGCTCGAGGCACCTGGGAAGGCATCACCTGCAAAAGAGAGGATCAAACGTTTGCTTATGAAGTGACAGCATAAAATGAGGCCATAAAAAAAAAGCAAGCGCTGTCATTTGATATGATGACATTCCACTCAGGAGAATAGCCTTGGCAAAAGTGGAATGATTAGTCTGTGAAGCTCTGCGGTTTTCTTTTGAAATTCAGGAACCACAGTCACAAACCTGTTCCGACTGCCGGACAGCCTTTTAATTCCCTTCAAAAGAAGAATGTTTACCGAGAAAAAACACAAACACGAATTGCTTTTGCTTGTAAACAAATGTTATGAATAATTATTACTCATCCTAAATGTTATGTTAACTGTCATTACAATAGCCACCAGATGTGCAGCTTCAAAAGGGGGAATGTCTAAAGTGTGTTTTCTTTTTGCCAGCTTTGACATTGGACCGGGAGACGACTCAGAAACGCATATGGTATTCGGCCCGCTGCCTTCCTGGAGCTTTTAAAGTCAAATAGATAAAAACAACAGCGATAGGACATGCGGTTTTCCCCACTGAGATCTGCAGAAATGTTTATAAATGCTGTTCAAGTCCATAACGGCTCTGGACGAGTCACTAAAATTCCACAGGAATTGTTAAAGTTTCCCCCTAGTAGGGATATTGCTTGAATTTAAAGGGATAGTTCACCCAAAAATGAAAACTACCATCATTTACTCATCCTCATGTCATGAGGTTAATATTCAAAACACAAAACAGATATTTTCAAAACAGTAAATAAATAAAAGCATAAATTAAATCTGTTCATCATATAAAGCGATTATATCTCTTCGCAATAGGCTACTTTTTTTTATTTTTTAAATCTTTTAAATTTTGGTTACCTGGACTATCAACGGAGGTTAAATTTAAAATATTTTAATTTGTGTTTCGAAGATTGGTTTGCATGAGGGAGAGCAAATGATGACAATTTTCATTTTTGGGTGAACTATCCCTTTAAATCAATGAATTAAACCCATATGCCAAACTATTCAAGCATGATGTATAAACGGATGGCAGTGGAAATTAATGAGCCCTTCCCCCAATTCAATTCAACCACTCTCCGTTCCCACATGCCTTTCCTCAATCCAGCGTGGGAGGGGCACTTCACACTTATTACTCAAACCAGAGATGGACTCGGACACACTTTCACAGATACACATACACACAGCACTTCCTCCTGTGCCGCAGACACCTTGGCACAATGGGTCCATTTTTTGCATGTGTAAATAGTGCATTAGCATGACAAGAGGAGGAGGAACAACAAGGCATCAACGGCAACATGAGCCTTTTGTGGAAGAGGTTAGCATGCGATTAACCTAGGAGGGAAGCAGTCTTGCTCTGCTGATGAACCGTTGGGCCATTGTATTGCGCATCGCTAACAGCAGATGTGAACCCTTTGGACTGCATCTAAACATTAACCACAGGACAGATTAGACCTCTGGATGGGGTGCAAATGGAGGAGAGGAGATAGTAGAGGAGGAGGAGATGTGGAAGGATATAGTGCAGTATGCAAGACAAACACTATAACCTAATGCATTTGCAAAACCACATTGCTTTGAGAAGAAAGAAAGAAAAAAGTTATTCCAAAAAGTTTTTCTAAATGCAGGATTGCACACCACTGGGCTTGTGATTCTGGGTCTATTGGCCGGGCCAGGGGTGCTCTTAAGCCTTTTCTTCAAACACACAGCAAGGGCACTGCTTTATTTATTCAAACAGAAGATCTGGACTATGGCATTGGTCACGTGACAAGTCATGTTTTTTTTGTTTTTTTTTTACCCATTTCAGTCCAGTCCTATAATCCAAAGAATGAGAGAGGAGTCATTTAGGAGACACTTCTAATCCAAAGCAAAGAGCGGTACATTTTTACTACAGGGTCATACTCTCATCGAGAGTGCAATGGTTACTGGGTAACTCAGCAACTGTCCAGTTTACAATTCACTCCTTATGTGGTTTGAATAAAGAACCTTTAGGGTCAACGCCAACACTCCTTTGAGGATTTTCAAAAGTATGAAGATACTTGTTCATCAAACATCTTATATAAAATAATAAGCATTGATATTAAAGTTAGGGAAATCTGAAATCAAGTCATGATTCAGTCTGACTTATTTGTTTTAGAACGATTCATATTTATTTCCAAAAATAAGCTGAATACTAATAACTGTAACTGGATAACTGTAATAACTGTAAGTCGGTTTGCACTACAGTAGAATGTTAACAAAATACATCAGGCTATTCAATGTCTCAAAGACTGAATTTCATATAAGAAATTCCAGGCACATTTATTATTGATCCAATAGAAAAAGGATAACAACAAGTCTCCAAATAGATGCTTAGTAGACTATTAAATATGCATAACAGATTTGCATATAATGTGGCAAAACATACTGACCAATAACATGCAGGGTCATAAAAATAACAATTAAAAAAAAGGAAATGTAACAAAATAAAAAGTAACCATCATAAGACATGCATAAAAAGTAGTTTCTAAGTATATTCTCAAAATATGCATAATAAAAAGAATATAGGCATGCAAAAATGCATTGTGATTTTATTTATGGCTATTTTGCACTAGATGTTGGAATGGGATTTGGCTCCATTCAGCTCAATAACATTAATGTCAGGCATTGATATGGGGCAGTCATGGAGGCATTCAGCCTTATCCCTAAGGTGTTCAGTTCAATGCTCTGAGCAGGTAAATCAAGTTATTCAATTCCCACCTCAACAAACCAACTGCATTGGCTTTGTTTTGTAAATGTGTGTACTGACATCAAAACAGAAAACGGACTTGCCTGAACTCTTTCAAAAAGTACAAAAAGTCTAAAATATCTGGCCTGGGATTTCTAGTTCCCAGCATTCTTTGCCAAGGCACTTGCAAGGGAGAGTAAAAATGATCAAATAAAGTGTCATACGTTTTTTGTGTGCAATATTAATGTTAAGTGGGATATTTAGTATGCAATATTAATGTTAAGTGGGATATTTAGTAGTGTTTAATGTTTTGCTATGCTAATTTAGAAGAGTTTCTGTAATGTTGGGTTTTGTGTAGTAGGGGTTTTACCATCATGGTGACGAGTGGAGCATGAGCATGGTTTGAGAACAGGTATGTTAAGTGTTTTATATTGCTTTACTCATTCAGAAATTGCAATGATATGCTAATGCTAGTCAAAGCATTGTGTTGCATTAGCAAGTCAGCATTTGCTGAATTAGCTAGTTACGTTTCCTCTACTAAAAATATTTAAGTTGAGAACATGATAATTTAAAGTGAAATGCATGAGCTAGCTTACTCAAATATTTCAAGTTAAGAGCAAAATTTTTACCCCAATTTTTTTTTGAGTTTTGCTAACCTATTAGGATTTACAGTGTAGTATTTTACCATTTTTCCGAAACTAATTTTTTTCTGAAGAAAAATCAACACTTCACCTATCTAACCCTCGTATGCTGACATGACTGTCCTGTAACTATGCATGTCTGCTATCTGCTATCCCCTGTCTGTCTGTCCACCCTATCCAAGTCACATCCTAAAGCAGTTCAGTATGGTCCATTTTACTGTCAATGTTTGTCTATGGCTGTGTACTTCACTGCTGGGTGAGGCTGGATTGACTGAACCACAAGTTTGTCCAGATTTTTGATCATGGAAAGTATACATTCGTCCAAATTGAGTTTTGACTGAGTACAAGTATCCTTTAAGTTTATGTAGGGTGAAAGCTCCATTCAAAAGGAATCACAGTTATGCCTGTGCCACAGCCTGTAACATAAGCAGCAGCAGCTCCTGTCAAATAAATATAACTAAACCCTCAAAGCCAGCATCATTTCTGTGTGTAGTTTCCGGGCGCAGTGGGAAAACCACAACACAACAGCAACCATAAAACTGTTGCCCTGATCAGTGCCACAAGATCGTTTACCTAGAAGTACGTCCAAGAAGGTCTCAATGGGAATTTACAAAGTCAGTTGTTTCACATTATCTCTGAAATATTCATATCCCATCAGCAAACATTTCCCAATGCCATAAAATCCCTCTGAACCCCAGAGTTTGCAGGGCACGTTAATTGTTTCCAATCATTCAGCTTTATAGCGCTCAGTCGTCATTTAGGATGCATGAAGAAAAACACAAGGGGTTCAGTAGGTCAAAAAAAGTTCAGTTCCTTAGTTTTTTAGAAGAACTATTTTCCTCCTCCAAACGAAATGGCCACTGTCAGAAGACCAGCTGAATAGGACACAGGAATTTCCTAATTGCTCATGTTGCTCAACTTAACTGCAACCCAACAGGCCTTGCAGTGAGCTTTCGCAATTCCCCAACCAACACCCCTTATAATTAAAGCCAGACCCTTAAAAACAATTCAGAAAGAAGTGTTGTAAATTAGAGAAAAGAGAGACACTAATTAGAATAAGGCCTTAAACTGACGCAAAGAAAACGGGGCCGTTAAAATACTCAGAGCCACTCTTAACTGGTCCTTCAAAGCCCACCACCTGCTCTGAAAAACATAAAGAGCACTCCCACACGACAAAAGATGACATTATGATAGACATTGCAAGGCTGTAGACAAAGCATGCTCAGTCAACCAATTCACACATCAAGGGGAAACTGGATTTAGTGTCATTTAAAGCAAAAACCATGACGGAATTACACAAGAAGGCAAAACACATTGGGTCTCATTCATGAAACACGAGCAGAACTAATTTTTGTGTAAATCGTGTGTAAAGTTAGCCTGGTTAAAACCAGACCATTCTCAGTTGTAACTGAGTTATGGTCTGGCAAAGCGTCAGAGACAAATCATTTCCAGAGGGGCGTCACCAACGGACGTCGCGGATAGACCTAAAACCAATCAGAGCGATGGAGATGACGTATGCAGAGCGGCAGAAACATCTCCGAGTGTTGTTCTTTGCTCGGTTTTTAACAAAAAGGAAACGTTCAAATCGCTTAAAACAGACGCGATAGCTGATTCGAACGAGTGATGTTCGACGGCGGCATCCATCTTTGTAATGTAGGCTAAAATCTGCTTCAAA